CTCTCTCTCGAATCATAACCTAAATACCCAAAACCACTGCGTTTCCCCATTTTCAGAAAAACCTTACGGAATGTTTAGTCCTGCAGTATCACTGTGGATTGTAGGTGTTTATAAATTCTCTGACCGATATTTACCGTTTTTTTTTTTTTTTTTTTCAATTGTACACGGTGCTCTGGCCTGTGTCAGTATTTTATTCGCATGTTAGGAATATATCATTATCAACTCGGGATAATTTGTTTCTACTATATCTCCCTTTGCAGAGTTTCTAGCGCATGAGCTTAAAGGGCGGTCGTCGTCGCGCAGCGCGTGTTCGAATTTCATGTAAACAAACAATGTATTTTACACGCGTTGTATACGTCGCTATGAGTCCCATATTGAACAGGGCGCGATGCGACGACCACCGTTATTTAAAATATCAGGTATGCAAGTGTCATCATCGCGGAGGGGGGGGGGCAATTCCTGAAGATGAAAATGTACTCGGACTCAATAGTACCGCAGGTATTTTCAGACTCCAAGCATTTTTCGGTTAGTAAAATGAGGGCGATGATTGAAGCTCACATATTGCCGTTTTTCTATTTTTAAGGGCGATAAACAACGGATGCTGACCTAAAAAACAAACTTTTACAGACTTAGGCTCAAAACAGGACCCCATCTCGAGGCATATACTGTCTTACATGTACAGGCCCTTACCGATGTTTTCTGCTGATACCCAACCCGTCTTGAACATTGTACATATGGGCCAGTCGCATGGGAACACAGCCGTGTGTGTTCAGTCCCGCCTTTAATATATAACTATCTCCACGCAGTAGGGCACGCTGTCCATCAAATCCCCCTGATAGAAGTGGCTGTAGAATGCGTCATTAGTACACCATTTTGCCCAATCTTTGCTATGTGTTGTTAGTCGAGTTTGACGTCCCTTAAATATATGGTAATATTGTCTTTGTGTTTCACTTGTTCTTGTTAGGAGAGACCATTATAACTTCGCCGAGGAGATGGTAGATTTGAAAAAAACAATATTGACCATTAAATTCTACGGAGAAATTCACAGAAAAAAAACCTAGTTATTTACAAAAAAAAAACATTTGATATAGTAGTTCAGAAGAAAATAATAAAAACACACCAATATCATCCTGAAAAAAATACTTCAAAACTAAGCCAAGGAAAAAACAAGAATTTCTACTTTTAGAGTGTTTATTATTTCACGATAACAATCGTCATACGATATTTTAAGGCACGCACTGTGTATTGCGTGAACCTTAATGATCACGTGTTTAACAGTGCTCCACCGCCACATGCTGCCACTTTTTATGATGTTTGCATTGAAACAATATAAACAATAATATTTTTTTATATTCCATGGCGATGTGAACATAATCAAAATCAAAACCTTGTTGTTGCAGCACACAAAATAAAAAAACACCCACATGAATGTCCAAGCACTTTGAAATAATTGTGATTACTGTAAAATTCATTTCATTTTTGGACGCTACTTAATAAATGTATGTATTAGCGATTAATAACTCATAAATGGCCGGATATCTGTAGTAACGTTTTCACAGTTGTACACTAAAATAACGTAACACACACGAACAACAACATTTCGTGTACACCAGCTTCCAAACTATATAGGAACACACGATCTTATCAAAAAACATCATTTAAAACATCAGGTTAACATGTTCCAACATGATCAAGTAACAAAAACCGAGTTCGTCGTGTTTTTGGTAATAATTAAACCAATTACATATTGTGTTGTGTTGAATAGTTACTGTGTTCATCAAAACTACGGTTCTTGTTTACACAATTACAGAGCATTATTTATTTGAATTAGTTTTCAGCTGCCAAACATACTTGAAAAGCTAACATGCTTATACTTGCTATCATCAATAAAAAAACATTCAACTACACCGCTCAGATCGTGACCACCTGTCCTCAATATAAATTTTGAAGACAGAATTATGTTTTTTTTTTTTCAAATTTAAAACACTTCGCTAACATCATCAATGTTTAATCAAATAGGGTATGATGTTAATCATTTGCTAATTTAGGGGCATAGAGGCGCCACCTGTAACCGTTGTTACACATATCTGATAATGTAAAAACTGAGAGAAATTATCTATGAAGGTGGTTATTTTGACGAACATGTTTATACTAGTAATTGCGATGAAACTGGTTTATTTTGGAAGCTGTTACCGTCGAAGTCGCAAGCAACAGCAAGCGGCCCACATAATATCAGACACAAACAAAATAATCAACGCAATGTTTACAGCAAACATAATCATGATTTTATTCGAATACTGCCTGACACATGTGATGATACATCAATTAACTAAACCGAGGGTTTATATGCGCTTTTTATATGTTTTTCAATGCACGACCTTCCTCTTTCACGACGTCCCTCGGTAAGTCGCGGCCCTCGATAAGTCGCGGTTTTTGCTTGGATCCCAACACCCGCGACTTAGCGAGGGGCCACTGTATGACAATGGCGTCACTGTAAAACAATGCCGTGCACTCATTCCTTTCTGTGGTTGTTAAACACAGAGAGCATGGATGACGTAATGACGGCACATTCTGGTCAACATATGACGGATCTGACGAGAAACGTGCAATGATGGTGGCTTCATAAATCAAAGTACTGACAACTCCGAATATTGACTACAATTTAAGCAACGTGTGTTTACAACACCAATTCAAGATATGTTACAAATCAGTTGAAATCATGATCGCTCTTAGATTGCCGCGCATAAACCACGCCGTAATCATCACGTGACCACAATTTAACTAGGACGATAGTGTGTTCAAATTCAGAAAACGTTTTCTATCTATCAACTGTTTTGTTATAAAAAATCATTTTTAACAACGATGTGAGATGAGTTGCGACGTGACAAACATGACAGAAACACATATACGCGTTTTGTGCTCCTGAACGATATCGATTGGCTGACTTATCGGTCTAATACGCATGTCTCAATTATTATACAATGACTATTATACCCCAATTATAATTTCAGAGTTATTATACCACGACTATTATTCTCCAATACGTATTATCTCGAATAGTATAACCCAAATTGTTATACTACGATTGTTTATATACACATATTATACCACGATAACTATTCTCCAGTACGCATTGTACCTCAATGATTATACCTTTGATTAGTAAACCCTAATTGTTATACCACGGTTGTTATAAGTTATTATAATTCCGCACTACGATTAGTATTCTCGGATGCGTATATTCACCCAAATAAAATATCACGATGATTTTACCCGAGTTGTTATTTTTTCCCCAATTATAATCTCACGTCACGTTTATAACCCCGATCTAACGTAAACATTTTACTCTTTTTTTACAAGCACCTATAATAAAACATATGTTAAATATTCAAGGGTGTGGATGGGATGGGGTTCGTTGTCTAGGAGCAGTCATGCAGTACCGCATCTCGAGAATTGAAAACTTTACACAAAACCCCCAATAATGAAGGTATTATAAAGCATCATAACTTCAGGTGCGGGGGATACTCTTCAAGATCGATTCCCCCCGTTGTTTTACACCGTTCTATTTCCTTTGGTGAAAAACAATATGTAATTACATCACTGTTATTATTATGTTTTATTGCGTTTTTGATGTGACAACAAACATGCAAGCAACTCCAGGTACCCTCTCTTGGTTAATGCCGAAATGCAGTATGGGTCGATGTTGCTATGCAACATTCATCGGTCTACCAGCAACAAGTCACAATTTCAAACAGCTAGACTTTGTTCAGGCGACGTTTGTCAATTGAACCCAATTTAACAGCTATCCAGTATTTCCATTTCTGTGGGATTGTTGTCAAAACAAACTGACACTGTCGACATTGCTCAAATGTCTGTTATCGTCGTACCTATTTATTATCATAGAAAATGTACGCCGTAACTGAAAGAAATAAAAAAAATCCTGCAGATGAAAAAAAAATCTTCCTTCGCATTCTCTTCCTTATTTAGAACGACATTCCATGTCATCATAGTGACCGAACATTGGGTGAAATATACACGATTGTTGAACAAATGCTACTAGAAATGTTTCGTTAGGATCACGGAACGGAAGTGTTTTTAAACATTTTGAACGACTGAGAAATACTCATGTGATTTCAACAAAGACATTTTGCAGGCTGTTACTCGCAAAACAAGGTGTTGCCATCACAACGGAATTGAGTCCATATGCATTGCAAGGCGTGGTGTCGAACAGCAAGGAACTTGAATTTGTCAGTTACAACAACAAAGTATACACAAATTGATAATTTTCACAGGGTGAAATAAATTATAAATAAACACCCAGTAGTTTAAGATAAATATCGCACTCATATTGCTCATATATTTTAATTGCAGAATGGGCCCATGTGTGTATGGATTAAGTTCTGGTATAAACACATACCTATTTCATTTCCTATGCATTGTCATTTAAATAATAGTCATGAATAACTGTGTATCTGAATTATGCATTGAATGCATATCAATTATATGTATTTATTGTGACAGCACTAATTAAGAGTTATTGTTATTTTTGTATAAATAACTGACCAATTTAACATTTCTAGAGTTAATTATTACCTCCAACATTTCCGAAAAAACATCCTTTATATTTTAAAGAGTGATTCGATGCTACGGAAGAGGAAAGATGAAAAAGTATATAAGTCGCGCCCTCTAGTGACGAGCCGCTTTTGTGACGTAAATGGATGCCGTTCTCGTTGTCCGCAATATACTGATTTGCGGTGCTGCACCATCTATGTCTTTGTGTCACGTGATAAGTGATGCCACATATGCACGCTTCGACTGCAGGGCTTTTCATAATAAAGTAGTGATATATTGATAAATACGTCCTGAAAGTCGTTAAAAACGGTAATTATCATTTTCATGCACATATAGCGTCTGCCAATCTAATCATTCATATTCTAGTGAATAAATAACAGTTATTTGTGTTAGCGTCTCACGCGGCGATAACTAACGAACATATACGCGTCTTCTGAGTGTAAATAATCGTGACACAAAATATCTATTAAAGAAACGAACATTAAATACCAGCAACGCAGCGTGCCACTTTCATATAACAGAAATGACGTTGCAAAAAATGATGGCGGAAATGTTTTGTTTTCTGGTACCTTACGGAGGCGGTTCCTATGACTACAGCGGGAATATTACATAACTGTAGTATATAATAGTATACGGTCAATGAGACAACATTCTTCTCAAGTGGCCGCCCCGTGAGATAACCCGACGCATCAACTAGTCTACCTAAGTGCTGACACAAACATCTGGCCACGTAATCGAGGGAGAGGGCATTGTTTTTTTTTTTATTATTTTGCGATGCTTTGACATAATTACAAAACTTTAGAAATAATATCGGTCATAATCATCAGTACAAATTATAAATTAAGCATATGAATTTGTGCAATGGAGAAATCAAGAAGTATTGCACATTCCTAAATAACTGATATTGTTTTATTTTTTCTAGATGTACTTCAATTTTAATGTCGAAGTAACAATTTTATTTCAAGGATGGCACGTGACAAGCGCTTGGGGTAAGCATCAGACTGGTACATTGACAGTTGTGTGACAGTAGAATTACTCTTTAGTTGTTGTTATCAGCTAGGTTACTCGGGGTTGGACTCTCTATACATTCCAGAAGATTCGGACATAAACTCCGCCCTCTAAAGTTGCACTAGCAAATCACATATATTCGAACATATTTTGTATCTATGAACGACGACCACGGTAGGTTGCTTTCCGAACTCTGTATATCAAGATTACAGTTACTAATGGCGGAAAGTTGCACAAATAGTTTCACTTGGTTGGGTTCGCACGCTGTCAATTACTGGCTTTGAACTACAGTTTAGATTAACATATTTTTCGGGCGATAAAACAAAAAAACAAAAAAACCTTGACTTTCCTAGTCTATACGGCTTATGGAGTTAACGGAGTGGTGTATATAACAGTCTATACTCCGGTATTGGTTGGGCATCACCAAGAAAGTGACCAATGGACGCAATGACCGGATAAAATGATATTCTCCGGTCTTTCTCGTATACTACGAGACTTCGGTGGCCATGTATTGTCAAATTGTGATTTGTCATTTTTTTCAATAGCTGCCAAGTATATACTATGGTCTTGTTTTCTATTCAATAGAGCTGGCACTGTCTTGTATAGTGATGTTTATCGTGGCAGTATCGTTCGAAAGCCTCAGTGTATTACGTCACCTTACAATTACTAAAGAAGTGAAACGTGCCGAGAAAATATGTACCACAAAATCCACAGCACAAACAGAAGAGAAGACGGAAAAAGAAGCAATACTTAAGAAACCACATACGTAAGTGTTTTCATTCCAATGGGAAAAAGTACAAAATCTATACAATAAAATCGCAAGTCTATGTACAAAAAAAGATATATTGCTTGTCATGGTAATCTTAAATGTTGTGTTCATCTTTCCTTCAGGCACATGGGTATTTGCAGTTCAGCGCATGCGCTGTTGACCATACTTCATTTGTTGCAAGTGATCCTGGCATATGCTCTTATGTTGACATTCATGACCTACAACGGATGGCTGTGCCTCTCCATTCTACTCGGTGCCACCGTTGGATATCTGATATTCGGATGGAAAACCTATGAACCACACTTCAAAACTACGTGAAATGTAACAGCGGACTTCGGAGATCACCGTGGAGGGCGCCAACGAATGTGCCCACTCTGCGTACGGTTTTAGACCGGAGTTTTAGATGAGTGCCAATACAAAACTTTCAGCTGCGTCAACTTGTTACGGCAGCATCCTAAACTACTTTCAATCATTACATATTATCAGGGTCTTGATCACGAGAAACATTACGATGAATGTAAAGAAGAAAACTTCATTCCAACTTGAAATACTACCCCAGACTTCATGAACTTGACAATGAACTTGAAGTCGTTTATGGTTCTACTCGCAGCGTTGTTTTTTTGCAATATTGTATTGTCCAGCATCCAGTTTCGTAGCTTTAGCAAACACGATAATATTCTGTTGTTTCCTCTCCAATCATTTTATCTGTTTATAATAATCTTCTACTTGAACGTATCGACAGCATTGTAGCTAAATCCCTGCATGGACGTTTGTCGTAAAACCGAACATCTATACAACCGAGACTTTTTAAACTGTAAATAGATTTGATGGCTCGAAAATTGTAATAGCTTTGGAAATCGTATCGAGATTCAGCTATTACGGCACATAATTTATTTATATCAATAAAATCACGTGATTGTCAGCTCATCTCAATTAAATGTTTTTTCTGATACTTTTTTTACAACCGAGGACAGAAGAGCGCGATCATTTCGTGTTTGTCATGCATGCGTACTGACTACATGAACGCTTGTCATGTATACGCATTCTCCTTCCCAGAGTTCCTTGTATCTTTGCCACCACACACTGCCGTTTTGTGGTGAAACACCACAAGACTTTTACTACGCGTAACATTTGCATATTTTTGTTATTAGAGGGCTCTCGTGTTGATTTATTGCTACTGAAAAACAAGTTTTAAAATATTTTATCGATAGCTGACAATGATTTTTCCGTAAATGCACTGGAAAAGGTGAACTAGTTATAATTTACAAAAGAAAATAATTTCATCGCGGAATAACGGTTACTAAGGTGTTACTCTGTCCATCAAACTGGCCGTCCTGTCGATTGCCAGACGAAGAAATATAAAGAAACACTTAGGGATATTGACGACTAAGTCGTTCTACTGCTACACCGTTTGTGCTACGGAAAGTAAAAAAAAATGCTTTTCACTTAAAAATACGTGGTATAGTGGTGCGCGTCTTAGCAACGTGGAACGTCTGTGACGTAGTCCCCCCCGAGGATACGTACTGACGACTGTATGAACGTCTGCCAAACACGCGCGAAGATCTCGCCCGCAGACCTATGAACTATTGCCATGGACGCTCGTTGTGTCGTCACAAGACGATAATAAAATGATAAACTGTCTAAGATGTCTAAGATAAAATGTCTAAGTTTCGGGAGGGGTACTTTCATAGTTATTAAGGTGTACGGTTATGCGCCGCTGTTATCACGGTCGAGCTGATCTTTTTGACCTCGAATCCTCGGGGGCGGAGCTACGTCACAAGACGCGCACCACTGTAAATGCATTTCTATGGGCTCTTTTCGCGCTGCTGTGGAACGCCTGTCGAGCCGGTGAAAATTCGAGAAAACAACACAAACTCAACTTTGAAATAATCCTGAAAAAACAAATTTATATATGTTACACACGTGGGGCTATTAATCTTGTTAAACTGTTCAGAGGAGTCTCAACAACCATCACAAAATACCGTTTTCAGCGAGTTTTTGACCTTTGTTTTCACACCGAGGGTTGCCGGGCGGTGAAAATGCCCGGATGTCCGCCTCCGAGGATATTAAGATTTTCGGTCATTTTATGTTTGGACCAAAATTTCCCTCAGCGTCGGTAACTTTGGTTATAACCGGCTGCGGTGCACCCTCACCCAAAATCAAAGATAGTATCCCCCGGGACCATAGTATATGCCCATGAGTTGTTCGGCTCACAAAGTAGTAGTATTTTGTTCCATTTGTGCAACTATTCATTGCTATCAAAACGAACATTGAGTGAAGAATAAACTGAACAACTTTTTGAAGATTGCTGACCCTTCGCCAATCATAAAAGCTGAGCAGTCCCCAACTAACATAATTTGTCTCAACTAACGTTTTGCGTTTTTTACATTCCACAAAACGTTAGTATCATTACCCCGGGGTCTGACTTAAAGAATGATCTGGTACGCATGTCTGTAAAAGAAATGCGTTCAAAGGGTGTTTTTTAAAGAAAAGCACGTTAACGCGCGTTACGTTTCAGTCAAAATAGACAAAAAGAGTGTCTTTTCCGGTACTGTCAATGTGATAAGGTTGGTTATTTTTTAAATGAGATTATCGTTTTTTTTATTGCTTTAAGGAATTCAATGATGGCAAAATCGAGGAAAACGTCCGGCCCCTGGTTAACGACCCTCGATCACGGGCGATCAAGGCATATGCCCAATCCGTGCTTACACTGAAGGGTTAGAAAGCTCAAATATCGCGAGATTAGGCGCGAGTTCAAGGTGCGTGATCTTTTAGCTTTCTAACAGTGAAAAGGGTACAATATTTTGACCATTTAAAACGTGTTTAGGGTCATTTTGAAAAAAACATTTTACAGACATGGGTTCCAGGTATTTCCACAAGTCGGACCCCCGGGATTATTACTTTTGGGAACACAACTTTCCTATACTTGCGCCATCTAGCGACGAAGTGCTAAAACAGTATTGACTACAAAACAAAACAATTACGCTGTGAACTGAAGCACTTTGCTGCTAGAGGGCGCAACTTATTGGCAAGGGATATGGTCTAGTTTATGCGCTACGAAATCGTATATAATCCACGTATTACATGCTTTGAAACAACTACATTGATTTTTATATAAGCTTACTAATGGACGTCTATCACCAAATTATTTACATCAACTGTCTGTAGATGAAAAAAAAAATGTTTGGGCCACTAGTAATAAATTACAGGCGAAACAAAAAAAGTTCAATTTAATAGTTCCATTCACCTATTTACTCCCCAGTAGCATTTGTTTCTTTTTAACGGTAATTTGTTTGAAAGGGGGTGGTCGTCACTTAGCGCGTGTTCGAATTCCATGTAAAAAAGCAATGCATTTCACACGCGTTGTGTACGTCGCTATCCTCGGGGGCGGAGCTACGTCACAGGACGTTCCACGTTGCTACGACGCGCACCACTGTACATGCATTTCTACGGGCTCTGTGCGCGCTACTGCGGAACGCCGGTCGAGCCCCGGTGGAACCGGTGAAAATTCGAGAAAACAACACAAACTCAACTTTGAAGTAATCCCGAACAACCAAATTTGTATATGTTACACACGTAGGGCTAATCTTGTTACACTGTTCAGAGGAGTCCCAACAACCATTTTTTATATTGATTTTTGCTGCATTTGCAGCAAATAGTTACCAAACAATGAGAAATCTATAGGATTGAATATACCCCACAGCTGGCTTCACATGCA